CAGATATTGATGTTTGTCTCATGAAAATGCAAGGCTCTCTTTGAAGCTCGAAAAATTACAGTTCAAATTTATTAAGTCGATACAGTTTAGTTGTGGACGTATGGGAATATGCGTCTTATCTCTATTATCACTCATACTCATGTCCATACTTCACACACATGTATATCTGTAAATATTATACATAATTTAGAAACTTTAAGAGAAAATATTCATTAGATTCACGAATTGTTATGTGAGTACACATAAAACTGATTTTGAATGCTTATTCGATACATGTCCGTCATTTTCATTTTGTTGCACAATCCACATCATAGAGCTCGCCATATTTGCGTAATCATTATCATAAAAATCGATGCCATATTCGCGTTTTGATTGTTCCTGTAGATTCTGCAAATGTTTTAACGGATTTTGTTCATAGAGGCTTAAGAATATTCGAGCGTATATGCAAAGTGCTTCTCCATCACAAAACGTGCATAACTGAGGTACAAGAGTCCTTTCAGTGCACCACCAACCTCTCACTTCACCTTTCGACCATGTGCGAGGTGATGTTTTCGGTACACAATATTCAATATTAGATTCAGGAATCTTTGCTCGTAATGAGTTATTATCTTTCTTTACCATAGATGGTATAAAGACTTCATGTGAAGAGTGACCCATCTGTGTCTGCAATGGTTCCGTAACCGCTAGTGGGTGGTTACGTGCGGCTATGTATGTAGCGAGACGAGTAATTCTTTCAGCAAATGGTTTTCTGCCGAACTTAACATGCACTCCTGTGAGATGAATATCAAGCCAAGGTTCTGCCTGATAATCTTCATCAATATATAGAGCAATGATTGGAATTTTTAGTTTTATAGCATAAGTAGCTTCAACACGACATGAGTCGCTTTTAGTACAGTAGTTTTCGGAGACAACAATCAATACCGTGCTTGCATTCTTTATGGCTATTGCTATTTCTTCCCAACAGTCGTTCGATAAACAATGTCCATCCTCATCGATCCAAACTGAAATGGAATGTTCTTTGAGAGCAGCGACAACTGATCTACAGAAACTTGCATCTTTATGTGAATAAGACATCATTGGAATTTTCTTGACAGGTGTGTTGACAACTGTATTATCATTTGAGATAGATATTTTGAATTTATCAAGGTAGACCAATATTCCATCAGCAGCAGCTTTGATACTCATCAAGTTATTTCTCAAAGATGAAGGAATGCATGTTTCACTGTTTGAAGTTGATGAATTTGAAGCTTCCGAAATAGTTTTTATGAATCTTTGATTTTCTTTGAGTTCTTGTTGAACAGATTGATGAAATGCAAAACTACATAAAATGTTGTATAATGCTAGTCGAATAAGATGTTTCACGAATAAGTCGTTAACGGAAAGTACATCATGTTTGTATAAGAGTTCAATAAAGAATGCAAGACCACCTATTTCATTATTATTTAATAGATATGTTGCCACATTATCATTAACAAGAAGTTTGGCGAGTGGTACTAAGTACTCGTAAAGATGACCCGTGCTTGAACGTAAATTAGTTGAAGCATTTGCTTCACGAATTTTTGTGAGTAAATAATCAATTGCCGGCTTAACAAACGTTAGAGTCTTGAGTTGATCTGTCGTTGATATCATTGCATAGATTCGCGGATAAAATGATGAAGTAAAGTGATTTTTTCCCAATCTATTAGCTAAAGCATTTTCAGATATTTCTAAAGCATTGATGGCACAAGCATTGTTCAATGCAATGACACCTTCTTCACATTGACTAACATTACTCATTGCAACAATAAGTGAGTCAAGTGGATCAGATGACATATTACGTTTACTAATCATATTTAGCCATTCGACAAGTTTTGCTGGAAAACCAAAATAGATTACCGTAGGTAGTAAACTTTTACTATCCGACATCACAACGATAAGAGAGAGAATAGCCTGGATACATTCGTTTCTTGCTGCATCTACCTTTGTGTCAGTGAAAAAATGATCAACACATGTAATAATTTTATGGAACACAGCATCATATCGTTCTTCGTGTAAAGACTTGTGAGTTGTGTAATCGGATAAATTTAGATGCTCCATACGTCGACTGTCTGCCCAAACAACGATTTTAGCTAATTTCAAAAATATTTTAACATAGAACTTGATAATAGTCTCTGCATCAATTTCCGTGAGATATGCAGAGAACTCATCTGTGCTCAAACCATCCATTGCTACCGTATAATACTCTTTTACTGACAGAGTTTCATTTTCAATTAATTCACCGAGTTTCGAACAAATTATGTTCCAAATTTGAATCATAATAGTCATAAAGAGTGAGTACCTGGGTAGTGAAGACGAGAACGTAATAGAAATTCTACAAAAGCGAATAAATATACCGGGCAATTGATGTTTTCGTATGTATTCATTTGATGTTAGTCTATTTTTAATAGCTGGGTTAGTCAGATAGTCTTTCAAGGTAGATAATATATTGTTAATTTCATTTGTATCAGAGTTTTGCTCAGGTAAACTTGTACATAAATCAAGACGGTCAAGTAATTCATTGATTTTCATTATATCTGCATTTTTTTCAGTATTATCGTTGCACTTGTCTTGAAGCGGATTCATTATTGTAGCTTTGTAATGGAGGTAGCCTTCTGAGTTTGTAATGGTTACGTATGAGTTGTGTTTTTTTCTTTTCACTATGACATTTATTTCATTTTTTGCGTTTCTAGGTAAACAGAAAAGAACAAAAAAGAGAAAAGAAAAAGGTAATTATGTGGTTGCTCAAGAATACGAAACTATAGTCAAAGTCATGTCGTATGAAAAAATGAAAGCGAAGGATGCAATTGCAGGGTGTTTCATAAATTGTGAACCTCATGAAATTAGTTTATACACAGGCAGTAGTTAATTTTTAACTGAATGTATGCATATGTAGTTTGAATACTCGGATGTCGTTTCAAATGGCTCAATTTTTGATGACATCTTCTCGTATGGTAATATTTATATAAGAATGCCATTGTAAATTTTTCGAAATCAAGCAACAACATGTTCTTATTGATGAAAAGGCAAGTATTACTGTTGATAAAAAGACATATTAAAGGGCTTATATAAAGAATTTCATTGAACTATGACGTATTTGTCTTTTACTATTTATTACTAATTCTCGAAGTCATACTTTCTCAGTGTCACTCTATAATAGTTTAGATATTCAAAACCATCTTGTACATACGATATTCAATAACTATATAAAAAATATGAAGGACACTGTTTTTGGTTAAGAAACATCTATAAAGGTTCTAAAAAACATTTGCAACGGTACCTCACATTCTTCTATAGCTTAATGCACCTTTTATATCATTTATCACAAAAAAGATAAGTAATCTTCTGCAGAAACTTTTAGAAACTAAAATAAAAATCTACTTCATCACAACTTATTCATTATCTCGACCAAAATGAAAAGCGAGTAGTACACATTGATAAAGTCATTACCATCGGCACGTGGCGTGATCAACACTCCTAGTGAAAGAAATAGTGGAAAGCGTTCTGAACTCGTCAAGAACGTTTATTTGGCTAAAAGAAAGAGTTCCATCTGTCTGAAACACTTGCTGTATCTTTCCAATATAGAGTTGTGAAGAATATATATCATAATTTCTGAAGCGTCTTCTTTCCTTAAAAAGAAGGCTCTCACATTTTCGGAATGTTTTTCAATTTATAATAATGAATAGTGAATCTTACCTTTGTAAGAAAGTATTCTCACTAGGAAACCGTTGCAAATGATAAAAAACTTTAGAAATGGGCGTTTATTCATTATGTAGCGCATATCGAGACTTGGTAAAGTTCAGAATGAATGCTTCTCTCGAGTATTCTCTCTGAAGTTACACTCAACTTATAAAATATTTGACATCTATCAAAGTAAATCATAAAAAGCTTGAAGTCTGGAATTTTTATTTGAAATTTTGCTTTAGAAGATATTCCACTGTTATTAGGATGTACTGGAAATCTTAAACAGAACAAACGCTTATATTTGGGGATATAGCACTCCCAAAACACTTTAAATTTCATGATTTATTGAACACAAAACAAGCATTTAGGTAGTCGGATATAACTTGAACAGAAAGATTCAAAAGAACAATTTATTCAAAACTTTGTCTAGTCTCAATATATCCTGCATAATAAAGAGTCTCATCTCTAAAGCTTTCTATCACTCACAACAATTTCTTAGACAATCTTTATCATAAAAACGTGGCAAAAAAAACGAATTTTCATACTCCCTGAAATCTCTCCTAATGCCTTTTTCTATACTAATGAGAATCGATCCCATTTACCTTATATCACTTTCTCTACTTTGAATTCATTCCTTCAGTTTCTACACTTTCTAAGTTCTAACTAAAGATTTTACCTGGAACAGCTACTCGATGAAGCACTGGGCTACTTGAACAAAATTATTTCAGAGTGAAAATAGTATAAATTCAATGGAGCACGACATCAAAAAAGACATCTATTCAGAATACTGTTGGTGGAATATTTTCTTTTTTAATTAAATAGATTGTTTTCATTCGCATCTAATGAACAGATGATTAGAACTACGACTGTTAATTTAGTTTTACTTTATTAAATTAAGATAATGATGGAATTTAGGATAAGAGTGTGGAGAGTAATCATGTCTATGTCTACACACACTGAAATTGCTTAGTTTCGAAAGCAAAATGTCAAAAATTAGAAATCCTTGTAAGTCTCACATGAAAAAGTTTTTTCTAAGTTTTGATCGATAGAATGCAATATCTCACGCATGCGCATTAGAGATTGACGATTTCAAGAAATACCTGAAGCTAGAATCAAAAGTTTCGCTGGGATATGCTTAGTGAAAACAGAAAAAAAGCGAATTCAATATCGGTTCCTAGACAAGTAGAAATTCATATAACCCTTAATATTTATAATGCTAGCATCATTTATTTAGTCCGTCATTTGCCATGCACTCTAATATTAAAAAGTAAAGAAAAACTGTTTTGAAGTCGGTCTTGGGATACCTTTTGACAAGTAACATAGAACAATACTTATCCCTTAGTTTGGCTGGTTCTTCTTAAGGAACTTATGCTTTATTTTTAGTTGTCTTCAAAAAGTCAAGAAAGGGTGTAGATATGGATGAAGAGAAAAATGATATTAACATTCCCTCGTACACTCTCAAGAGGATAACAAAAGAATAATTTCTAAAGCACGAATAAAAACTTTTTTATGCGCCATAAGTTAGTTAGTTTGTTGATTTCAATTTGATAATTCTATCTAATCTTAGGTTGTGAATATTCTAAAAACCAAATAAAAAATTTTTATTTAAAAGAAAAAATATGAAAAACAAACAAATGCTAAAAAAGTAATTGTTTCAGATGAATACATAAGGTTAACGTTTAAATACAGATATTCGATAATAATGCGAATAAAAAAAAAAAATTAGTTTGATGAAATAATATTTTTGAATTGAAGCATAACTTTCGATGAATTAGCTTTAGCCGGTAATCGAACAAAAATTTCTCGTTTAGCTGATAAATTTCCTTGATTTAATTTTAATTCATCGACTTGTTCACGAATTTGACTTCCATTAATAGGCAATCGATAAAGAGTGCCAACCAAAGGAAATATTTCATTAGGTTTAAGTACATCTTTACGATTTGATGGATCTGTGTCATTTTTAATTGCTTCTCTAAAGAGATTAATTTCTTCTTCATAGTTTCGCATTATTTGTTCAAGATTATGAATAATATCATTATTTTGACCTCCGGAATTTTTTTTCATTTGTTCTTCTCGTATAAAATGCCTCAGATATTCTAAAATATCGTCATTTATTGGAAGAATTGCATTTGCATGAAGAAATTTTGCAAGTTTTTTATAAACATTTTCAATCTCAGTTTTTTCAAAACGTAAATCACGAAGCCTTTGATCAATATCACTTAATGAAGATGATTTATTAAGGCAAGTTAATTGTGTTTCATATTCATATGTTATATGTTGATGTTTTTTCCATGAACAACCACATTTTCGACACATACCTACAATATTATATTTTTAACATATATTCCTAGATAAGATTTCTTACGGGATTAAAATGACGAAAACGATGGAAATAACCACACTAATGAAAATACTCATCAAGCGAGTACGACGTTCTATCCTGAGTACTCAAATTACTCGCAAATAATACTCGACCAACTTTATGTGTTTATAGTTTTTAAATACTCTGTTGCGTATTCGAATGATTGTTCTTTTTTTTCAGATTTTTCGATAAGTAAATAGATAAGTAGGAAATTTGCTATTCATGTTCGTTTTATCTGCACAATATTTATTAAACGCTATATTCTCTCGTCTTTTTGTATTTTTAATAAAATATACTAGATGATGAAAAGGTGAAATGCAAAATACGATTATTTATTATGTCGTACCCTATTATTCTTTATTTCTCTTTACTTTTATTTACTGTTTTCAATCTGGTTTTTTTTAGTACTCGTACTTTATGAGGGAAAAATAAAGAACTCTGCATCCGTGCGTTACTGAAGAAATTTGAATACTTTGTCGATTTTTATATAATAAAAATGCTTTTTGTGTGAAAGTACAAACAGAGTCTATGTTCGATGAAATATCCACTAGAAAAGAAATCGTCTAAGTGTGCCACCAGTAACTCAATCTCATTGTCAATAATTTTGTTTTAACGGTAATGGTAAAGATTTCGATGTTCATATTGTTTGTGTTGAAGAAACCTCAAGATAAAGCAACACTTGTGATTCTTATAGTGATTATTCTTCTTAAATTCTGATTGTTTATGGAAATGTTTTTTCGTCTTCATTTTGTCTTCAAATCAACCGAATGTGCAGAGTTTCCGAAAATTTGGCATCTGTATAAACTACAGACATCAATTATTGACTGAGTTTTCTATATATTTA